GTCATTTTTCCTGTTAATTGTAATTTTTGACACAAGTGAGTGATGAACTTAATGGAATGCTGTGTGCTATATTGATCATTGTAATTGAGTTGTAGAATTGGTCCCTAATTGAATCTTTAACATTAATATAAAATAGCTTAATTTATATATTGCAGCTCATAAGTTAAAGTCAAAAGAGGGTGCTACCCTCCTGATTTGTAGCAACAGACAAAAGAACAGAGCTCAGAATTTTAGAAAACATTGTGGCCCATACAGGCTTCATTCCTAGTATATTTACGGTCAGGGGCGGGTGCTTCTGTCTCAGCATTGCGTGTAATTGGAAACCTGTAGAATTCCAGCCACTGGGATGAACATGTCTGTGAATCAGGCCCTCAGTTCATGGGTTGTGGGGCTTCAGGCCAGGCAAGTGTGCAGCGCGGTCCCGGTGCAGTCTGCGTCTGTCATAGTAACTCTCCAAACACTTGATTTTATCTTGCCACAGAATATCCTCTCCCTCCCTGCCCGTAATAAAGCTTACCTCTCAAGGACAAAGGCTGATTTCGATTCTCACATTCTCACAACTCTTGTTTTTTAGGTCTCGAGTCACCGCGTCCAAACATAATCCTCGGGTTAGTGATCTGTCAGAAAACAAAGCGGCCCTCAGGCGCTGGGGAGCTAGACAAGACAGAGGAGAAGCGGGCTCGCCTACTGACACAGGACGAGGTGGAGCCTGTCCATCCCAAAGTGCCTACTGCCCTGCCGCCAGAGAAGAGGCCCCCCAAGTACCAGCTCTGCCCAGGGGATGCGGCTGTTAGCACCACGCCCCCAGGCTCTCCCCCACCCCCACCCCCTCCTCCAGAAGCACCTGGGGCGCCAGGCTCGTCTTCCATGTTGAAAGTACTGTCGTCCCTCAAACCAGGAGCCACAGCACCATCTGGGACAGCGACAGCAGCTCCAGCAACCGCTTCCTCTGTCTCTTCAACTTCAAAGACCGCCTCGCCCCTGGAGCACATCCTGCAGACTCTCTTTGGGAAGAAGAAGTCGTTTGACCCCCTCTCCAAAGAGCCTGTGGAGTTGGCCCCAGCCCCCCACCAAGACTCCAAAGCCAAGACCGATGGGGGGCTGACAGCAGCACCCCTGCTGGACCCCATCGTCCAGCAGTTCGGTCAGCTTTCCAAAGACAGAGCCCTGGAGGAGGAGGAGGACGATAGGCCATATGACCCCGAGGAAGAGTACGGTCCCGAGAGAGCCCTGGACACTCCGCCCGGTGACAGGGCCAGGCACCAGGACGCGGAAGAGGCCCCCGAGGCAGCTGAGCGGGAGGAGGTGGCCTACGACCCCGAGGACGAGACGATCTTAGAGGAAGCCAAAGTGACCATCGATGACCTGCCTAACAGAATGTGTGTCGACACACGTGGCGGGCCTGGCCTCTCTGCCCCCTCCTTGGTGGAGCAGCAGAAGATGATTGAAGAGCTCAACAAGCAGATCGAGGAGCAGAAGCGGCAGGTGGAGGAGCAGGAAGAGGCACTCAGGCAGCAGCGGGCCGCCGTCGGGGCCTCCATGGCTCACTTCTCCGTGTCAGATGCACTCATGTCACCGCCTCCGAAGGCCACACTGCCCAAGGCCGAGCTGTTCCCACAGGAACCGCAGGCTCTGGTCAAGCCGGCTGCAGCCTCCATCACCAGCCAGGCCTCTGGCCCAAGTGCTGAGGCGCGGCTGAGCCGGGACCCCCGGCAGGCCCGGCGGTTGGCCGTGGAGAGCAATGAGAGTGAGGCTGCACTGAGGGCCCCACCGGCCAGAGAAGCACCTGGAGGGGCCCCTGCCGGCCCGGGGATGCTGCCAGCCCAGGAGGAAACTGAGTCGGCCCCTCCGCCATGGGCTCCAGGTGAAGAGGCCCCACTGCCGGCCAAACAGGATGGTCCCCCGCGTGAGCCCTCAGAAAGCCTCGGGCCAGAGAGCATGGCCGGCTTGGACGCTGTGGCCAGACCTGCCCGGAAGGTACTACTGCCCACACCACCGGGCGCCTCCTTCCAGCCTCTCTACCCTCCGCAGAGCGAGGGCCAGGCCTTCCCCCCTCCTGGTTTCTCGGGGCCCATGTATGCGTCTCAGGAGAACCCAATGGGCTCCTCCCAGTATGATGACCCGAGAAATGCTAAGTTTGCCGAGAAAAGTGACACCCTGGCCACTGACACTGAAGGAGACAGAGAGTCCCAGGCCAGGCCAGGCGAGGGAGCTGGTGTGTTTCCCCCCTTGGCACAGAAAGGGGGACCTCCACCCCAGTTTCAGGGCCAGAGGGAGCCCACACCCCGTGCTTTCGGGATGTCGGGCCTTCACGGCCCCAGTTTCCCAGCTCCTCGGGGGCCAGTTCCTCCGTTCTCAGAAGAGAATGCTAATAACGATGGGCCAAGAGGAGGGCCTCCGCCGGCCAGATTCGGGCCTCAGAAGGGGCCCATTCCTTCCCTGTTCTCAGGGCCACATGGGCCACCTCCCTATGGGGATGGCAGGGGCCCCTCCCCATCCCACCTGGGCGGGCCCAGGGGAGCAGGGCCGCCTCCGTTGGAAGAGCGCAAGGACGCCCACGGGGAGAAGAGAGAGTACCCGGACGCCCTGTACGGCGAGGCCTCAGGTGGCCCTGCCCAGTGCGAGGGACCTGAGCAGGCCCCATTCCCGGGAGGCCGGGGTGCCACGCCGTTCCAGTTTGGGGGCCAGAGGAGGCCTCTGCTGTCGCAGTTTAAGGGGCCCCGAGGGGGCCCTCCTCCCTCTCAGTTCGGAGGTCAGCGAGGACCCCCACCCGGCCACTTCGTGGGCCCAAGGGGGCCACACCCTGGGCAGTTTGAAGGCCCCAGAGGCCAAGCGCCTGGCTTCGTGCCCGGACCCAGGGGGATGCAGCCTCAGCAGTTTGAAGAGCAGCGGGTCCACTCGCCGCCCCGGTTCTCCGGCCAGAGGGCACCTGCACCCCTGCCCTTCGGGGGGCCCCGGGGGGCTGCCCCATTCCCAGAGAAGAGTGAGCCGGTGCCCCCCCGCTTCCACTTCCAGGGCCCAGCTGCCCCTGGCCCCAAGCCGGCACCCAGGCCGCTGCTGGAGCTGCCCAGCCACCCTCCTGCACCATCCGCCGCGCAGGCCCAGGGCCCAGAGGCTGACTTCCACGAGGGGGGCCGGGGCCACGAGTACAGAGGCCCGGCCTTCGAGGGGCGGCCCCGCGACAAGGCCCCAGAGGAGCCTGAGGCCCCGCTGCCTGACAGCCGCTCAGGCCGGGCCCTCGACGACCGGCGGCGAGAGAGGGAGCGTGGGAAGCCCTGGGAGCGGGAGCGCGGCCGGACCTGGAGCCGTGAGCGGGACTGGGACCGTGGTCGAGACTGGGACCGCCACCGGGACAAGGACGCTGGCCGCGACTGGGACAGGAGCCGTGAGCGGAACGGGGGCAGGGACAAGGGGCGTGAGTGGGACCGTGGCCGAGAGCGGAGCCGCAACCGGGACCGCGACCGCAGGCGTGACAGGGAGAGGTCCCGCAGCAGGGACCGCGACCGTGACAAGGCCCGAGAGCGGGAGCGCCGCAGGGACCGCAGCCGGAGCCCTGAGCGGCCCCGGGACCCCAAGACGGAGACCCCTCGGGCTGCGGCCCCCACTGCCCAGAGCTAGGGCCCCTTGGGAGCGGCACTCCCTGCTGAGCAGATGGTCTTGGAAAGAACTGCGGACTCCTGCGCAAATAGAACCTTATGGACTTGAAATATTACTGTAATTTTGTGTATAATGGTTTCTTACAAAATTTCACACATTTACAATTCCGATGCTTTTTTAGAAACAAAAAACTAAGAACTCTTAACATTTCCATTTAAATGTACTGAAATGGGAACGTACCTACAAAAGCATATTGCTTTTTCAGATTATAAAGTTATCTTTTCTAATAACTTGACTGTTGTAAATTCTGAGGGAGTTTAGTGGCTGTTAGAGCCATACCTTTCCTGACATCTTGCCTGTGTGTCTGTTTCCAGAGGTGTGGCTGTTTCCAGAGTATGTTTTTACAGGGTTCAGACCTGGTGGCCATGGGTTTCTGTGCATAGCTGTCAGCTAACCTCTGGATGGTTGAGAAATGCCAAACTTAACAGATGCATCTTTCTCTCGTCACAAAGAAATTTGAATTACAAATTTCAACCAGGAAACAAAACATTTCTTAGTTTTGCTCAGTTTTTATATATTGCCTTACACTTTTTCTTTCCCAAAAAACATGATTAAAAGCAACATCTGAATAGAAACTGTTGAATTTTAAATAACATTTAGTTAAGATTTAAATTTTACCAGTCTAAAGAAAGGAAATAAATCAATTAAGTGTAATTTAAAAGGTGGGGTGGGGTGGGGTGGGATGGGGTGGGATGGGGTGAGGGGGGCATTCTTTGACTTGAATAATCAGGAACAGTGTTTTGGTTGAACTTTACCACCTGAGCAGTTCTTTCTTATGTCCCAGGAAAAGTGCACTAGCTCCACACTGCTGTCCTTGTCAGGTGATAAATCTCAGCATTTGTTGTTGAAATGGAACAATATTTGTATAAAGCCTGAGGTGAAAATAGTGCTGTTAGCTCAAAAACTGCAAATTAGAATGCTTTTCACCATGAAGCACAGTAAGCTGCTTCTCGTCCTGTGTTTCCAAGTACTTCTGAAGTGGAAAGTAGAGGAAAACTTGCTAATTTATTTGACTGTATAAATATACTTTCATAATTTTTTTTATATTTTCATAAATTTAATTTTGCAAATGTAAAGTTAGAGAATTTCCTTTGTTCTTTGGAGTCTATTCCGTTGTACATCACTACAGATTCTTCCCTTTCTAGCACAAACGTTTAAGCTGCGAGAACATTGAGAATTTAGCAGTTTGGGGTGATTTGTGGGTGTTACAGACCCTGTCAGTAGGTTAAGTTACATTAAAGTGGTGACGAGTTCCAACATCTAATGTGATGTGAAGGTTTTTTTTTTTTACATGTAAAACAAAAATTTTCTAATTTAAATACAACCAAATGTAAAAAATCAAGTGTGTTTCTTTAGGTTTACTTGGTAGAAATTTCTGTAAATTGTATTTTATATTGCAAAGTATTATATCACTGTACATTTAAACATGGAACTTCATAGCTTTGTTACATGAAGTAGAATAAACATCTACAGAAAGTTTTTCTGTCTTGTGTGACATTGTGTTGGAAAGTCGGGTCTGGACAGGACATCTCGGCTCCCTACTTCCTACGGGTCAGTGTGTTGTGAGCAGGGGGTGCCTTTGGCCTGAAGACGCCTCCTAGATGCACCCCCTTTAGGGCACAGTTCCATTGCGGGTCCCCACATCCAGCAGGAAGTCTGAGGCCACAAAGGGAAATACAGAGAAGCACGATCAGGGATGACAGGGACATGGGGTCTGGGGACAGGCCGTCGACGCGGGTCCCTTGCAGGATCGGCAGGCACCCAGAATCCTAGTTGCTGACTCGGGGCTTAAAGGTGCATCGGGCTGGCTGGCAGGTTGGTGGGGAGCATGTGGTGAGGCAAAGCAGGTGGGCCAGGTGCCATGCAGGGTGGAATAAATGGCGGGGGGGTGGTGGAATGGGAGGGAGGGACATGCGATGCTTTCAGGTCAGGAAAACAGCCTCCACTGGGAGGAGAGGACGAAGCTGTGGGTCTTGCCCTTGAACTTGAGCTGCATGACTGTCCCCAACCTGGTGACCCTGGCACCAGCATTTGGCTTCTTAACTAGGCTTGTGCACCCATCATCCTGCCATGAACCGAGACACCCAGAAAACGTCCCTTGGGCAGGATAGACTCCACCCCGAGGGCTGAAGAGTCGGTAACTGACCGTGGGTTACTGACCAGCTGAACACACGAGAAACCAGGGGTGAGTGTAGGGGTGCCAGCCTGGGGCCACCGCCACCACTGCCATCTTGGAAACGCATCAGGCCCGCTGACACAGGAAGGAGACCGCTCATCTGTGAAGAACCCATGGCACCAGCCTGACCTCAGCGAGTCCTGCCAGAGAGAGGGGCCCAAGCACTGCAGGTCAGACGCTGGGCGGGGCTGGGGGAAGCAGGTGCCCCGGGGTACGAGCCCCACCCGCAACCCAGGTCCCTCAAGATGGGGATGGGAACTCCACCTGTCTCCCTCAAGGGAGACCAACTGAGACCACCCACATCTTTCCACCCAACAGGTCACTGGCTGTGTGCCTTTTCCCTTAATCTCTTTTCCCTCGATTTTTCTTTTACACAATTGGGATTCTATACGTTCTTGTATCTTTTTTCACTTCTTATAACCTGGGTGATTCCCAAAGACATCAAGTATTCATAGAAAGCCTCATTTTCATTTTTCACATTGTTCAGAAGATTTCAAGCTTCTCCTTCCCAGAGAACGTGTGCTCCCTGGAGATGAGTGGTGTCCCGCGTGTTCATGGAATGGGGTCAATGAGAGGTGTCCCAGGGAAACCAAGATTCCCCAGGTGCCGCCGTCCAGAGGCACGTGTTCCTTGCAGTGTCTCTGGCCTTTTCCTGTGCCCGTGTTGCTGGTGCTCAGGCGGGGATCACCAAGGAGGTACAGAGATTTTTGCATCTTTGAGCAACACATGAAGGTGGGGGACAGGCAGCCCCGGCAGGTGGACTGACTTATGATATCACTGAGGGTCCCCTGCGCTGCCATCCTCTGCTCATGACTTGTCCTCCTGTTTGCAAGAAGGCTGCCCTTGGAACCATCACATCATCCCTTCACTATTGTAGGAGGAAGCCAGCGTCCCCACTTTAAAATGTCTGGTTTGACCTCGTTGGCCAGGTGGGCACACAGCCGGCCCTGGCTGCAACAGAACAATCAGGGTATCAGTAAAAAGAAGAGGAATTCAGCCACCATGGACACCACCCCAGGAAAGTTACATGGCATGAGTCAGAAAGCTGGTGGTGGCAAGTGCTGACAAGGATGCAGGACAGTGTAGGGGGAAGGCAGCACCCCCAGAGAAGAGCTTCCAGTTTCCAATCAGTGGCTTGTCACTGAAGTCCATGCAAACCAGCCATGTCCCTCTACATTCACCCCAAAGCATGTGCTCCCAGGGGGGCAATGGCACCCCAAGGGTGCGAGAACCTGAATATTTTTAGTGATACACATTCACGATCGCCCAAACCAGCAAACCACCCAGGTGCCCTTTAGCCAACATAGGGGTGGATTGAGGCCCAGCTGCCAGGGGGAGCCACGTGCATCCAGTGAGAGCATGACCCCAAGCCAAGGCCATCAGCTGCAGGACTCTGCTCAGGACACGCTGGAGGGGACAGGAGGCAGACACGGCAGAGTGGTGGGCATGGCAGCGGGGCGGAGGCAGGCATTCGGGGGCCAGGGAGTCCTGTCCCATGGCAGCTCTGGAGGCTGCTTGCTTTCATGACCTTGACTGTGAGTGACACCCAGACCCACAGGAAGACTGTGCTGGGCTGGCCACTGCTGGGTGAGACCCAGCTCCTGCCTGTACACACATGCACATGGACACACACACACACATTGCATGTCAGGAACAAAAAGAAAGCAGCTCAAGCCTGAAAGGCAGCTCGGCCGAGGAGGTCACACCTCTCCCCTGGACCACGAGCAACCTTTCATCTGTGATGATGGACTGGCTCCCCATAGACATGTCATCATGTCAGTAGTAAAGGAACACTTTCCTTTTGTTTAAAGAACACAGAGCGGGGAAGGAGGAGGGGGTGGGAACAAGGGAGAGAAGCCTTGGGTCGCTTTGCTGCTTCCTTCTCTTCACCATGTGGTCGACTGGGTCAGGAAACCCCAGCATGGCCAGGGCTCTGGCATCCTACTCCGTTGAACCTTTTCCAGACCAGTCCTGAAATCTCTCCACCGAGCCCTGGCCAATCGGGGCCGATACTCTCCAGCGCGGGTCCACCTTGGGCTGCTTTTAATGTGTTGTGATTTTGCAGTTTTTACTATAGCCTCCCTGGTGGCTTGCCCCTTGACTTCCCTGGTAGCTCAGATGGTAAAGCGTCTGCCTGCAGTGCAGGAGACCTGGGTTGGGAAGATCCTCTGGAGAAGGAAATGGCAACCCACTCCAGTGCTCTTGCCTGGAAAATCCCATGGACAGAGGAGCCTGGTAGGCTACAGTCCATGGGGTTACAGAGTCGGACATGACTGAGTGACTTCACTTTACTTTTTAACTATAGCCTCAGCCCTCTCACTGCCTCTGCTGGTCTGACTCCTGCAGGCCACCTGCCCATTGTCATGGAACTGTTGGTTTTTTCACCTGGCAGGCTGACACATTCATTTCCTTGGAAGTCCAAGTTAGTGGCTTTAAATTTTCCTTTGGTTTGTCTTTCCTTGTGTGTGTAATTTATTGATACTTTACCAGATGAGGAACCTTCGAGAAAGCAGAGGGAAACTTGTATTTTGTTACATTGTCCTATTCCTTACTCCTATAAATTAAACAGTATTTTTAGAAATATTTAAAGATAGTATCAAATACTTAAACACAAAATTAAACACTTAACAATTAATTTTTGCAAATATTTAGTAATCAGTCAAAAAAATATTTAATCAATTTCTCCCAAGTTGCTTCAAGGAACACACATCACAGGCCCAGGTCATGTGACAACAAATATTACTCAGGGCTCTGTGCTGTACTAGTTGCTCAGTCCTGTCAGACTCTGCAAATTTTCCTAAGCAGCTGATTAAAATCACGTCTCTAACAAAGATTTCTCCAATCATCTTACTCCTTAAGGAGTGAATGAAACCCACAAGTCACAGCAACAAGATGCACGGCACACAACATGCAGACTTGGAGCTGTGGGTTTTACTGTCACGTCGCTATCTGGGTCAGGGGGAGACAGGGAGACAGAGAGGGAAAGACAGAGAGACATGGATAGGGAGACACATCAGGGCTTGGTCTGCAGGCTTAGCTTGGCTGTGGGAGCTGGATAGACAGGACTGGCCGAGGGAAGGGTGTGGAGAATGGGGTGAGGACAGGTCAGGTTCCCTGAGGAAGGACTGGCCTCTCTCCTACGTTTCTCTGCACCCCCAGCCTTGATGGTCCGGCCTGAGAAGCTGGGCACTGTGTCGTAAGGCTTAGAGGCACACTGGGCTTGAGAGAGGCTGAGTGGGCCCATAGGAGGTGGAACAGCGGGTGGAGCTGCTGTCCCCAAGAGGGGGATCTTCACATGTGTGACCCCAGGGTGTGACCTCTGAGTAGAAAAATCTGTGAGGCTATAGCTCCTCTTCCGGCCTCCAGATCTTGTGCAGAACTGTCTCTGTTGACCCCCGACCACGAATACACAGGAGAGGGGCTGCTAGAAACACAGCCTGGCCGGCTGCCACCGGTCTCCCCCACAGGATAGCCTGGCCACAGGGCGGCCCCTCCTGGCTTCAAAAGGCAGCCTTTTGCATCGCTCCACGATGCTGTTTACTTTTTTTTTTTTGGCATGTTTGGGACAGGGGCCTACTTTTGGCTCAGGGGAGCCAAGTGTTGGGGGTGGGCTTTGTCCTACCCTGACCTGCTTCCCCCGGCTCTGCCTGACTCCCCAGCTAAGGAGGGCTGCCCTGGAGGGCTAGACCAGAACTGTTGGGAGCCACATTTAGAGTCTGAAGAAAGCATGTTTGATATTTTCTTCACATTTGATTTATAAAATAAGCTTCACTAAAGCCAGATCATTCTCATGTTTCATGTCTAAATAAAAGAAGGCTCAGAAACTGCTATTTTCAAGGAATCCATGCAAATCAAGAAACACAAAAAACACTGTAGGTGCCAGTGATCTTCATTTCTGGTAAATGAAAAGCCAAGTTGACTATAATCTTTATTTTCTCTTTTAAACACTGTAAATTTCAGCATACTCTGTGATTCTGCTACTCAGAGTGGAGTCCACTGATCAGAGGCACACACATCAGCTGGGGGCTCCCTAGAAAGGGGGCATTCTGGGACCTACCCGGGCCTGCTGAATTAGAATCTGCTTTTAAACAAGATCACCAGGGCAAGTCTGTGCACATTACGGTCTGTGTTGGTGTCATGCTTAGAATCGTCTCAAATATTTTATTGATATCATCCTGTATACTTATTGGTTGTATAATTTTGTATTTCAATGATCTGAAACTAACTATTATGCCGGTGTGGGGGAAAGCGTTCTAATTTTTTCTCTATATGATTAATCAAATGTCCTGATATCTTTCACTGAGTCCCTCATTTCCCTACTGGGGACATACTAAGTGGGGGAAAAAAAAGCAAACTATCACAACAAATGCATAGGACTATCTTATATTGTCCAAAGAAGAGATACTATAGAAGAAATGAATGGCACTCCAAAGACAGCCATCTGAGCTCTGATGGAATGAGCACAAGATTGACAGCCTGGTGGAAGAAAACTGTGCATTAGGCACACGCCTGTCCTTGAACTACCTGGTTCCCCTACAGAAAACAACCACTGAGTGAGGTGGGGGTGAGAGGTAGACACAGCACCTACACCTTAAAAGACAGGCCCAGGGTTAGCAAACCCACAAGGACAGAAAGGAGGTTAGTGGGTAGGGAGTGCTAATGGGTATGGGGTTCTCTGGGGTGAAAATGTTCTAAACCTAGAACATGGTGATGTTGGGATGTGATGGTGGTGGTGATGGGATGTGGTGATGGGATGGTGGTGATGGGATGTGAATACACTGCCTTTCAAGGGCACACTTTAAAAGGATGAACCTATGTGGCATGTGCACCACACTCACCACTGGCCAGCATTCGCGGCGTGCATTGATTACAGGAGCGCTGCCTGTTCTAGTACGAAATCGGGCACCGCGTGTGCCTGACTAAGTTTTCAACTAGGCACAGACTGCCTCGTCACACCTGTACTTTGGGCCGCTGTCTCACGTGTCTGCTGTTCGGACGCACGGAACCCTCGTGTCCCGAGAAGGGGTTACCCGCACAGCACCCCGTGGATCCGTGAACTCGAGGAGGTGCGTTGCTTGGAGAGGCACCTGCGCCCCGATACCCGGCCAGGCCCCGGGCAGTCTGCTCCCGCGACACTGGACTACAGTGGTCTTGACTCGCAGACACGCGGACCCAGGCGGTGCGGACCCAGGCGGTCCGGACCAGCGGACCCTGGACCCCGGCGGCTCCGCCCCGCCCGCTTCGCGCCCTCTACCTGCGCGAAGACGCCGGGCGCCGACGGCCCGGGCCCGGGCGCACCCCGGCCCAAGGCGCCCGACGGCGCCGGCAAGGAGAACGCGGAGGGCGCGCCCGAGGCGCGGGTCAAGTCGGCGGTGCGCGTCCGCCTGGAGGACCGCTTCAACAGCATCCCTGCCGAGACCCCGCCCGCCCCGCGTGGCGCGGAGCCCCCGGAGCCCGGCGTGGCGCTCAACAAGTGGGTGCATCCCCCGGGGAGCGGGCCCGGTCGGGTGCGGGTGTAGACCAGGGTCCGGTGCAGAGAAGCATCAGCCTCCGTCTGGGTGTAGACCAGGGTTACGTGAGAGGCCAGCGGCCCCCGAGCAGCTTGCAGCATAACGGGGAGCAGGCCTCGGAGGGCCTGGGGCCGACCTGAGACATTGTGTGCGCTGTGCAGGCAGAGTGAGCAGGTGTTGCGTTCACGCCCCACAGCATTTCCTTTATGGTGTGCACTCTGTCTGCGTCTGCACGTGGAAGAGAGATGAGTTAAGTGCAGAGATGCTCTTGAGGATCAAGGCTTTTCCCCAGATCGCCTACCTAAATGTCAGGAAAGGCCTCCGCTTCCCCTTGCATTGACTCAGGCGTAGGCTGACCTCACGGTGTGCAGATACAGCCCGTGGAAGGAGAGAGATCATGTTGTGAGGCTTTGAGTGAAAAGCAGCTTCATCCTGCAGCCAGACTGCCAGCTCACAGGCACTCTCTCAGCGACTACTGGAGTGTCTTCTCAGTTTTCTGACTCTCCCCACCGTGTAGTTTTCCCCCTATTTTCCCATAGTCGTCAGATTTTGGAGGATGGCAAAAATAATAATAATAACCACCAGAGATTGGTGACAGAAGTGGGATGGGAAGAGAGTTGTTCCCAAAGATGACACACAGCTTCACCTTGCATTGTGAGGAAGACAGTTTGAACTTGCCCCCTACAACACTAGTGGATAATTGTTTTATAGAGATTTCCATGATGAGGGGCCTTTCATGGTAACAGATTCGAGTTAGAATCTGTTATCTAGAAAATCTAATGTTAACCACAGGAGTGTGATAGTAAGTGATTGTGGTGTTTCAGGAAACTTAACCCACCACACACACTTCACGTGTTTCTGGGTTTCTTTTGTCTTGGCAGTTTGGTAACTCTTATTCGCCATCCATCCGAACTAATGAATGTTCCTCTTCATCAACAACAAAACAAATGTACAACATTAGTGAAAAATAAAACTGCTGCTGCAACTACTGCTTTGCAATTTACATACCCTCTGTTTACTACAAATGCTTGTTCTACTAGTGGAAATTCTAATATTTCACAAACACAGGTAGGGAAAATAATTTGTAAAGCTTTGCTCTATTGTATTAAAAGGATAAATCGTATTTTAGTTAGGTCCCAAGGATTTTTTTTTTTTTCCTTTCATTAAGCACAATAACATTTTAAAATCTAGAGTATTTATGTGGTTCGGGGATATTTAAAAATCCTTAAAAGTTCTTCAAGTTCATATGAATAGTTTTGGTGTTATTTCTGTTAAAGTGCATTTTATTTGTGCATAGAGAGGAGATTGTCGCATGTTGATAAAGTTCTTATTGCTTCATTTTCTCCAGAGTTCTAGTAACTCATGTTCTGTACTTGAAACTGCCAAGCATCAGGATATTGGATTGCCAAGAGCATTTTCTTTCTGTTATCAGCAAGAAATTGAATCCACTAAGCAGACTTTGGGTAGTAGAAACAAAGCTTTGCCTGAGCAGGTTTGGATTAAAGTAGGAGGTAAGTGATAAGGCAGAAGCTGGCAGATGCTTTCTCTACCTGCCTGAGCTTTGCCCTAGATGTTGGGCGGGTTTTTTTGGCCGTGGGTGGGAGAAGGGGGAGGTGGTTTATAAACATATGAAACAGTCTTGGAAGTCTGCTTGCATTTTAGGAACCCTTCCCTCCCTCTGCTTTAGTCACCTCACTTTGAACATTCATACCAGTTTTGGACATCGAGTTTATACTTGGCCTGGAAATATTCAGTTTAGAGGCTGGTTTTTCTTAACAGTAACCTCTTTAAACAGAAAAATGATAGACTTATGTACATTTTTCGTTACCTTCAAGTTGCTGACAGATGTAAAGTTTTTATTTCATACTTCATGAATGAGGCATGAGTCAGAAATCCACTCAGATTTTAGGGGACAGTCTGGTGGTGGTTTAGTCGCTCAGTCGTGTCTGACTCTTTGCAATTCCATGGACTGTAGTCCATCAGGCTCCTCTGTCCGTGGGATTTCCCAGACAAGAATACTGGAGCAGGTTGCCATTTCCTTCTCTAGGGGATCTTCCTGACCCAGGGATCGAACCCACGTCTCCTGCATTGCAGGCGGATACTTTACCAGTAGCACCACCTGGGAAGCCCTGGTGGGGACAGTCTGCAGATGGGCAAAGAATTGAGTTGGGAGCAAGAGGCCATAAGGTGATTCAGAAAATTTTAGACATAAAGAAACTGCTGAAGACAAATTTTGCTTACCTCTGATGTTAACTCTCAATCCATTTTTCCTGGGAAGCATTCTTTTTCAAGTTATCCAACAATAATACAGCTCACACATGTGCTTTCTGAGAGCTGATGGAGACAGGATAGTGATGGAATGCTCCTGCTTTCTCCCACATCAGTGATTAATTTTTCCTGGTCATTGTGACGTTGTATGCGAAAGTATACGTTAACATTTGTAAGGTACAAAGGTTAATATTAAAATAGTTCCTGTACTGACTGTTCAGCTTAAGAAACAAAACATCACCAATACTTGTGAATTCCCCTCTATGTCTTTAAAAAGTTATCCCCATTCTGAAATTTGTGTTCGGCAATTCTGTCACTGTGGAAGATTTGGCTTTGTATGGCACCTTGGGAATGCTCATCACCACTTATATTAGTTAGACCCCTGTTTGATGGGAAATTGACATGTTTCCATAGCACAAGTCACAGCTATGATGTAATTACTGGTTTTGTAGGGGGAGGGAATCTCATTTGTAAGGTGAGGGCATGTTTAACCCTAAACCACTTAGGTTTTGTCCTCTTCTGAGCATTGCAGTTATAGTATCAGTTGTCATTTTAGAATAATTGCATATCAAGAAAATCTTTTGGAGAAAATATTTCTGGGTTTAAAAAAAACCCAGATTCCATCCTGAATATCAGGAAAATCAAACAGCTTCTTGGTTTCTCTATTCAGAGATGACAAATGCCTCTTGATTTAAAAGAGAGACGTTTGACAAGCTCTGTTGATCACGTAATGCTCAGTGTGTTTTAATTTAGTTTATATTCAGTTTTATAGTTTGAAACCTGGGACTCTGTGCCAGCTGCCCCTGTGGAATTTCTGAGGCTTCCTGTTTGGTTATGTTTGCTCCTTACCCATTCATGTTTACATCTTGTATTGAAAATACTGAAAAATATATTCAGCATTTACGGGGGTAAGTTAAGAAGAACTGAAAAATTAAAGTACCACTTTTTCCTTCTTTTGCAAAGAAGAAGCGCTATGTAAACAAGCCATAAATAAGAGGAATCGGAGTAGGATACGTCAGTTGGACACAAACGTAGAACGAAGAACCCTTGGAGAGATTCAGAACGTGGGCGAAGGCTCCACGGTGGCACAGGGTGCTTGGCAGTCAGCAGAGTCGTCCCAGGCCACCCTCGGTGAGCAGACCCAGAGCGGGCCGCAGGGGGGCCGGTCCCAACGCAGGGAGAGGCACAACCGCATGGAAAGAGACCGAAGGTAAGGCCTGAACAGCGGCAGCATAGGGTTGTCTCAGACGCCAAGCAGATGGCGGGCAGTGCTGCTGGCAGGCAGCCTTTTGTAGAAAATGGTGGTGTAGCCATTTCTGTATTCAAAGGGAGAGAGAGCCGGCAGGAGTCAGCAGCCGCTGTGTTTTGTGAGTTGAGAGTACTCACTACAACCCCCAGGCTTGATGATTCACTGGGAACACTCGTGGCTCTGGTCTATTTTGAACAAAGAACCCAGCAGAGCCAGCACTGGCGTGTGGGGGGATGGCCGGGGGACCAGGCACCAGCTCCCAGGAACCCCTCCCAGTGGAGCCACTCAGGATGCCTGTCAGCCCCCAGCCATGGGAGTGTGTCCCCAGCCAGGAGAGCTGTTGAGAGACTCGGGGCCCTGGGATCCTACTAGTAGGGGGCTGATTGTGGGGGGCCTTCCTTATTGGCCACAGCTAGATCCCCACAGCCAGATCCCAGACCCCAGAAGGAAAGCTGGTATTTGACATACCATGGCTTGGTGCAAACAAGCCGTGTTGTTTGCACCCCCGGCTTAGTCACAGGGTGGTGACTGGTGGTGGTGGGATCCCCCAAATCTGAGTTTCAAGGTGCCGGCCAGGGTCACTGGTCACTGAGTCACTCAGTTTTGCTGGGTTCTTCTAAGAATGTTGGAGAAGGAGGAGGTTACAGCTTATGTGAGTTGTTTTATCTGTTGATTTTATTTGTGCTGTTCTGCATAGATCCAAAGGTGGTTACATTTTCCATTGCAACTGGGTTTTTACATGATGATTCCCTCACATATAGTTATATTAACTTAGTCATTTGTTGAGTACTGTACCAGTTTCTGTTTTAGGCTCAGGAACTAGAACACTGAGCAAGACATATATTCATCTCTGAACCTACAGTGTTGGACTAAGGCAGTTTATTTCTTTTTAAAGGGAAATATTAAAGCTAGGCTAGACGCCTTCCCTAAATTTGTGTCCACACATAACTCACTGTGAATTATAATGGGCATTGTTCCTACTCGGACATGTATTTAATAAACATTTACTGAGTACCTACCATCTGACAAAAAGCCTTTTATTTACTACTACCTGTTGACAGTGAAGGTTTGAATTCTTCCTCTGCCATTTCCTAGTTTAACAACCTTCTTCTTGTTCTTCTCGTCTCCTCCTCCTAAGTTCCTCGTGTATGAAATAGGTGTTTGAAGTGGGATGCCAGCATCAAACAAGCTGAGATGTTGGGCCTAGTGCCTGCGGTTACAGAGCATCTAGTGAATTCCCACTGTGACTACCTTACAAAGTTTCCCTTAAATTCTGAGTGTACACATGGGAAGATGAGCAACAAGGGCCATATTGTATAAGGTGTTCCACATCAGCTCGTGTAGCACTGAATGTAATACATGAAAGTTAAAAATGGTCTAAGAGTAAGGCTCCAGTTATGTAAATCATCTCTAAAAAGACCAGGTTTGGGGACATTAACTGGCTGGTAGTCTGTGTTCTAAATGAAGTGGGACCTCTTGAAGAATGAGTGCTGTGAATCCTAGCTTGTGTGAGCTCCTTGGCATCTAGCAGGCAGGTGAATGCCTGTTGAGTGAAAGAACATTCTGCCCAGAAGAAGCACATACACAGTTTTGCTTCTGGTTTTGGGGCTTTGGGTCCATCCTTGCTCTAGAGGCTTGGAGCTGGCCCTTACATGTACCCCAGGAGAAGTAAAGAGGGGAGACGCTCCAGGGAGAACGACAAGGCTGAGTTGGACCCCAAAGGGGACCTGGTGCTGCAAAGGGGAGCCTGGTTGGGGAGAAGCTGCTCTTAGATCTCAATGGCCAAGCTGGGAGCTAATTCCTTGAGGAACATAGGCACTCACTTTATTCTCTCGTTCTGCGTCAGTTTTTCAATGTGATTAATTTGGGTTTTGACCATAGGCGCAGAATCCGCATTTGCTGTGACGAGCTGAACCTTTTAGTCCCGTTTTGCAATGCCGAAACTGATAAGGCCACGACTCTGCAGTGGACCACAGCATTCCTGAAATACATTCAGGAGAGGCACGGAGATTCTCTTAAAAAGGTTAGTATCTAGGTCAGGAGACTTTCAATCCTGTAAATGGATCAGTATTGCTATTTATCCTTTTCGTCTAAGATATCCCAAACTGTCCTTTGTTTCCTGGACTTTAATATCAGATACTGAGTCCAGTGTGAGAAATGCCCTGCTTGTTAATGATGGCATCATCTTTTATCAAAGTATGATGAACAGCCTGGGTTTGTCCACTAACCTCAGAGCGTAAGCCTGCATTGTCAGTGGTCAGCTAGCAGGGAGACACCTGTTCCATACAGTGAATTGTTTGGGGGCTCAATGGGGTTTCAAAGACTGGCCTGTAGGGTGTGAATTTTCGCCCTCAGAAATTGTTGTGAAAGGGATAAAGCACAAATAGAAACAAAAAGAGGCAATTCAGTGTCAAAAATAATCAAACAGTCTGGTTATCAAACATGTTGAGAAGGCAGAGCAGAGAGACCCTTTGGCCTGGGTGATGGAGGACTATGTGGGGGCCTGGGGCAAGCATCTCAGTTTCTTGGTACAGCACGTACCTCAACTTTGACCCTGTCTGTTTTGGCTGAGGAGCCACTGATACCCTGAGAGCCAGCTGGGCTCCCGGTGGGACCTGATGCTGGATGTTAGTGAGGGTCCCACCCACCCCCTTCCTTGGGGTTTCAAATGAGAGAATGTGCCCGGCAGTGGCTCCTGCGCTCTGCCTTGGGGGCCTTGGGTCCAGGTACCCTCAGAACTTGAGGTGGGGGCACGTAGTTAGTGGAGAGTGCCCTGGTTTTGCTCCTGGTCCCAGCTGCTGTCCTGCTGTTGACTGAGCATAAGTCTAATTAGAGAACTGAGCTGGCATTGGTGTAATAAACAGGGAGCCATTTTAGAACCATTTTAGAAAGAGCCTCCTGTGTCTAGATCCTGGGGGCCTGAGCATGACCACCCCCCCACAGCCAGCCTCTCAGGCTGAGTGCTGAGAGTTTATCTTCTCCAGTTTCTTTGCTGTGCATTTCTCCATTTCTTTTCCATGTGCGTTTCCATCTTGTGAGTTTTGTAATTTCATCAAGTTCCTTATTTTCATTGTATATTTTTAATTGCCTTTTAAAGCCATACCTTTGTTAGATTTGTGCTAATTGGATCATTTATGGTTATTTATAATGTGGTTATTCTGGTTATTTTTTAACATTATTTTTTAGCAGTATACTTGGTTTATTGTAATAAAATAAAGCTTTTATATTTAAAAAAATGAATTTAATGGTTGGCTCTGTGTACCTTGTAAGTGGTGAATTATTATTCATATGATTGATTCAGATATGTTGATGGTGTTTACAACAACCAAAAGAACTTAACTGTCTCTATACTCAAAGATTAAATAGATTAAAACATATCAATTTTTGTGTGTATTAGGTTTCCTGAATATTTCTTTTTTTTCCTGAATATTTCTGAAATTTAATTACATTGAGTTTGTAAATTGTTTCTGGGTCGGATTACAGGAACCATCAAAAAACAGGCTGAAGTGATATCAGTAGCAATTTTGGGGAGAATTAGACTGGAAAATCCTAAACCTTTGTGTCATTACTGTTTCCTTAGTGACATCCCCCCCACCCCCCCACTTACATGAACGTTTTTGTTCCTAAAGGTAAAATACATAAAAGTCTTAAGTAATTTGCCAAGATTATTTCAGTATACATGTCATCCCACAGTCCTTTCTGGATCACCAGGGAAGTCCAAGACTCTGCTTTTTAAGAACAGTATTTTATCTATTGCTCCTGTTTCTCACATTCTGATCTGTAAAGATGGCAGTTTTTAACAGCTTGCTAAGACTTCCATTGTGACCGCTTATGTAGTAAATTTTTTTTTTAATTCTGTTTTTATTTGGAAAATACATGCATTCTCTGTTTGATGAATTCTGTATGTGTATTAGATCAAGGTTACAAAATATGGTTCAGGCCTTTTTTGTCCTCTCTTATGTGTCATACCTGTTGTTCCGAGAGCCTGCGTGGCATTTCCCACCGTGATGCGCCTGCCCTGTCTCTTTGGGGCTCTCATGCAGCTGAGTGTTGGGGCACCCCCTCCCACCTGGGCCCTGAGGTTTGTCACCCCTCTTGATTTCATTAACCTTTTGCCTTTAAGTCTCTCCTCTTTCTGTATGGATGACACCAGTTTTCTTCATCTTCCTAACTTCCTGATATAATTTCTTTACATGTAACTGTAACAATCTTTCTTTTTCCTACTAAAAATACAGATTTTATCATTGGCATTCTTCTACTTAACAAATGTAATGTGAATATCAAGTTTGACCAGATATCATTTCAAGGAGTCTGATGAGTTGTAAAAACCCCTTAGAACTCAATTGTTTCAGTCAGGTTTTGTTGAAATAGATGCTGGTTGAGCCAGCCGAAGTGGTAGTTTACCTTTGGTGCACTCGAGGACAGATGTCCACTTGTCTCCCTCTCTCACTGTCCCTCCAAGTCCAAGTCCCCATGAGTCAAGTCCCAGGGGCTGTGTGAGAGTCTGGATTGAGCTACACCTGAACTCTACTTCCGGCAGAACTGTTGAGAATAAAGGTGGCTGCCCAGAGGTAGTCTGCTCATTGTGTAAAGGTTGTTTAGAAAATCTCTTGAAGAACTTTTCTTACGTCTGAGAAATGATGACTTCTGTTTAGTTATTCTCAAAGGTAAACTCTACCTTCTCAAATATAGACAAATATTTTATAGTTGGGCTTGGGGTGTCAGAATACAGAAAATGATCAAACCATGGTTCATTTTATATTAAGATCCACTGAAAATATTTTAAATATTGGGAAGAGAATTAGAGTATATTTATGTACAGATAGAGCCTCTGAGCATAGGTGGTGGTTGCAGATGGCAGGTGGCCTTGGTCGGGTTGGCCATCTTGGTCACCACTTGGTCGGGTGGAGCACTCCAGCAGCTCCAGATGACTCAGAAGGTAGCGCAGTGGCAGCCGACACAGTGCTTACACTTCCCTTCATGGTCATGAATTAAGTTTAAATCTACTGTAGTCCAGCAGCAAAAAGACGACACGATTCAAAAATGGGCAAAGGACCTGAATAGACATTTCTCCAAGGAAGATGAGCAAATGGCCAGTAAATAGATGAAAAGATGCTCAACATCACTAATGATCAGGGAAATGCAGATCAAAAGCACTTTAATGGATATGAGATACTAGTTCACACCCATTAAGTGGTGGTGGTGGTGTTCAGTTGCTTAGTCGTGTCCAATTCTTTGCAACCCCACTGACTGCAGCACGCCAGGCTTCCCTGTCCTTCACTATCTCCTGGAGCTTGCTCAAACTCATGTCCATTGAGTCGGTGATGCCATCCAACCATCTTGTCCTCTGTTGTCCCCTTCTCCTCCTGCCTTCAATCTTTCCCAACATCTGGGTCTTTGCCACCCATTAGGTGTGGCTATTACAAAATAACAAGTGTTTGTGAGGATGTGGAGAAATAGAAAACTTTGGGATTGCTGGTGAGAATGTAAAATGGTACAGCTGGTGGTTCTTCAAAAAGTTAAACATAGAATTACCATATAATCCAGCAATACCACTTCTGGGTATTGTAGATACCCATGAGAGTAGAAAAGCAGGGACTTGAACAGGTACTTGTATACCAGTGTTCATAGCCTCATTATTCACCGTCACCAGAAGATGGAAACAATCCGAGTGGTGGAGATAATCCAATCAACAGGCAAATGGAAAAACAGCCAATGGAATACTATTCAGCCTCGAAAAGGAATGAAGTTCTAACACATGCCTCACAACATGAATGGACCTCAGAAATAGGATGCTGAGTGAGAAAAGACAGACACAAAAATACAAATACTGTATGATTCCACTTAATGAAGTCATCCAATTCATAGAGTCAAAACGTAGAATGCTGCTAGAGGCTGGGGGAGGTGGATGGGGAGTTAGTATTTAATGGGGACAGAGTTTCAGTTTGGAAAGATGAGAAAGTTCTGGAAATAGTGACAATGGTTACACAAATTTGTGAGTGTACTTAAGCCACTGAATTTTACACTTTTGAATGGTAAAAATGGCAGGTTTTATGTTATATATATTTTACCACAATAAAAATATATAAACCTAGACTTAATTGTGTAAGAATGCTGTTCTTAAAAAAAAACAAAACGGAAATGCATACACGCACAAAAATGGAGAGACTGGAATAATGAACTCCTGTGTCCTATAGCGAAGCCTCAGGCATAACTTCATTTCACCAATTCATCCCCATCCTCCCACCCTCACCAAATTATTTTAAAATGTTTCCAGACGTCACATCACTTCATTCGCAAGTGTATCTCTAAAAAGGAAAGTGCTGCTTAAAAGCACAACCGCATCATCATCATCTTCCTTAATCTCAATCCCTGTCCAGATTTCTCTGGCTCACAACTGTTGTTTTACAGTTGACTTATTTGAGTCAGTATCCAAACATTGTGTTTGGTTCATAGCTCTTAAATATCTTTTAATATGCAATGGCTCCCTTTCCTATTTTCCTTACTGTTTTTTAATTGATGAGGTTGAAAGTCATTGAACAGAACTTGCGTCCACTCGCCCACACATAGTAAAGCCAATCTACTGACACCGGTTGTGGTGAAAGAAAGGTGCAGCATTTATTGCAGGTGCCAAACAAGGAGTCTGGGTGGCTTATGCTCAAATGACCTGAATTTCTTGTGGCACCTGCAGTAAATGCTGCACTTCCCTTCACCACAACCTGGTGTCAGTGAATTGGCTTTACTGTGTGCAGGCGAGTGGACCCAAATTCTGTTTAGTAACAGATTTTGGTGCCCAGATGCAATGGAAATCCAATCTGGGTCACCAAAAATTGTTAACAAACCAAACTTGGGTCTGCTCACATATGTGCAGTATTACACGTCATGATTAGTTATACTCTATGACAACATCAGAGAATTTTTTCCGTGTAATATTTTCCATGTAATTTAACATACTAAATAATGTCAATTAGTTTAATATTTCCTCCCTGAGATGCCTCAGGAGTCTTCTGGAAAACTCAGAGTCAGCTAGAGAAGGAAACTTGCAACCTGTTATCAAAAGCAGCTCAATATTCCAGGAAAACTGCTCCCTTAACAGAGAAAACCACATCAAGTCTTGCACCAGCTTACTTTTAATAGCAAACTTCATTTACTTAATTCATTTCAGTCTAATCTGAGCCCATCTTGACCACATACAAAACTCTTTCCTTAAGGTTCCTTTTCCACAAACCTTCCATCACTTTCTGTATCCATGTTAGTTTGTCCTTTATTTTTGCCCATCCAGAGACCACAAGCCCTGGGACAAAACTATTCTCCCTTTATACCCTGAACAAAGGTTTTTCCATTTTTTATATCTTCTCTCACCAACAGTGTATATCCTACTGACTTTATATATTGAAATCCTTCCCTTACTACTCTTAGAAGCTTAATTACATATGTATTACAATTTTAACCCTTAAAACTAGTGAAAACCAAGAAGCAAGTAATTGAACTGTTCTTTACATCAGCATGGGCTTCCCTGATAGCTCTGTTGGTAAAGAATCTGCCTGCAAAGCAGGAGACCCCGATTCAATCCCTGGGTTGGGAAGATCCCCTGGAGAAGGGATAGGCTACCCACTCCAGGATTCCTGGGCTTCCCTCGTGGCTCAGCTGGTAAAGAATCCATCTGCAATGTGGGAGACCTGGGTTTGATCCCTGGGTTGGGAAAATCCCCTGGAGAAGGGAAAGGCTACCCACTCCAGTATTCTGGCCTGGAGAATTCCACGGACAGTATATATAGTCCATGGGGATCACAAAGATTCGGACATGACTGAGCAACTTGCACTTCACTTATATCAGCATGTTTTGACTGGCAAACATACAAACACATTCTGTAACCTCTGAAAGCATTTGTTTTCCTACAACTTTTCAATTCAATGTGCTACAGGACATGTGTCTAATAAGCCCGAGCATCTTTAGTTTTTTTTCTCAAAGAAGATGAAAGAAGGTGAACTTAGGCTTGTCCAGTGATCAGTGTTAATGCTTAGAAGGTCTGAACTCCTTGTTTGGTACCTGCAACAAACACCGCACTTTCCTTCATCACACCCTGGTGTCAGTAAATTGGTTTTACTGTGCATAGGCGAGTGGACCCAGATTTGGTTCAGTGACAGTTTCGGTGACCCAGATGGATCCTGTCCAGCGGATGCCTGAGCACCTTTGTCTCAGGGGCAGCTCCAGGCCCTTGCTACCGACCAGGCATCCTTGGCCCATGGCACTGGTTTTTCTGGTAGAGGAAAACAAGGTGCTCACATTGGTGGGTTGAGACATCTTTGGTAAGTAATGGAACTGATGTGTGGTGACACCAGAGTATTCTTCCCTATTATGTTGACTTCAGCTGCAGCGGAGCATTGATTGGGATTTTCCCTTTTGGACTAAGTAAAGCTTGTTCATGTGGCTTTGTCTCTGATGGCCACTGGCTAGGAACGCCCTCTTTTGAGACTAGGGAACTTGAGCCTTGAGAGACAGGTTTGCCTTGACTTGTTTGTTTGCTTGGTATTTGACAACACTGGCCATGAATAATTAAGTATGAGTGATCAGTGCTCTGTTCTATCTTGTAGTCTAGGGTGTATTTTGCAAAACTGGTAGATGTTCAACTATGCTTCCATAAAAAGTGATTTTTTTTTTTTAAACACCACATGGCCACAACATTCTTCATTCAAAATCTAGAGAAAATTGGTTAAGATGAAACTTTTGAAATTCTAAAACTGGTTCTTTTTTGCTTATCAGAGAAAACTGGCTTAGATATTTTCTCAGTATCATGACCCTCAGAGATCAAAATATTCCTAGGAGAAACCCTGAAGTTATAACTCTTATCATGTTCTTGAAATGCAGACACAACTCACATTGCCTATGACTTTAGTTGTGGGTTAATTAGTAGAACTACAAATCACAGGGGGAAGAGAGAAAGAGCCTTTTTAAAATCAAGTAAATTCAGCTTATCCCAACTGTTATTAAGTTTTATGTTTGCTGGGTGAGTTGCCATGACACTGGTGGTCATGATTTCCTATCTTTTCATTTGCATTTTATTTGTTGTTAAAACAGGAAGCCGTTGGGAACTTTAAGGAATTCTTGGACTCCACCTTTTGCTTTTGTCCTGCGGGAATCTTGTTCTATATGTATGTGTGTCTGCATTTGTCTTGTATGTAAGGGTACCAGACATGGGAACTCAAGCTCATTTCTCAAATGCAGCCTTTTTGGGTACATTCTCCAGAATTGGACTGCTTTTAGTCACAAACCAATAAAATGTTCAAAAAATGATTTTCCTTTGTAATATGGCCTGGCCATAATTCTCTGTAGATTTAGGGAAAAGATGGCTTGCTAATGGATACCTAAGTTTTGCTACTATTACACAGCTTAGGGCAGTTTTATAATAGAGATAGAAAATGGGATAATAATTATAAACTGATAAATTTTGTATTGAAAAACAAGCTATGTGATCTCTGGATGGATAATGTCTGTATAATATTATCATAAATAAAATAGAGATAAATGGGTTAAAAGCTTTCAGATGAACTCTTGAGGAATAATTATCTATTAGTTTTTTCAGATTTTTGATAACTTGAAACTAGTTTGCTAAACTAAGTTGTGTGACAGAAATTCATTAAAGGTCTAAGTCATTTTTCATTAAGACAAAATACTGGAACATTAATTGCTAGACAAGTCTAAGTTCACCTTTTGTCTCCTGAGAGAAGAAAAAAGTTATTTGGGCTTATTAGACACATGTCCTGTACCACATTAAATCAAAAAATTGTATCATAGGAAAATATATGCTTTTAGAGGTTACAGAATGTGTTCTTAAGTTTGCCAATCAAAACATGCTGATGTAAAGAACAGTTCAATTACTTGCTTCTTGGTTTTCACTGGAGATTAAAATTTTTAAGGGTTAAAATTGTAATACATATGCAATTAAGCTACTAAAAGTAATAAGGAAAACATTTCGATATGTAAAGAAAGTAGGATATTCACTCTCAGTGAGAGGAAGATATAAAGAATGGAAATATCTTTGTTCAGGGTGTAAAGGGAGAATAGTTTTGTCCCAGGGCTTGTTGTTTCTGAATGGGCAAAAATAAAGGACAAACTAACATGGATACAGAAAGTGATGGAAGGTTTGTGGAAAAGGAACCTTAAGGAAAGTGTTTTACATGTGGTCAAGATGGGCTCAGATTAGACTGAATTGAATTAAGTAAATGAAGTTTGCTATTAAAAGTAAGGTGGTGCAAGACTCTATGTGGGCTTTCTCTCTCTGTTAAGGGAGCAAAGTTTTCCTGGAATATTGAGCTGTTATTGATAACAGGTTGTATTAAGTTTCCTTCTCTAACTGACTCTGTTTTCCAGAAGACTCCTGAGGCATCTCAGGGAGAAATATTAAACCAATTAAGATTATTCAGCATTGTACATTACATAAAAAACTTTATATGGAAAAAAATTCTCTGCTGAAGTTGTCACAGTGTTAAGTTCTCACGACATGCAAAGCTGCATGTTGGTGATCGGACCCAAGCTGTGGCCTGCGGGACTTCCCGCCTTCTGCACCTCACAGACCTGTATCTTTTGTTTCCTGGAGGCCTGTGAGCCTCGAGTTGTCTGATTGCACCTGCCTTCTCCTTTTGTGAGCTTGAGGCTGATACAGCCATTAAAACTGAGGCCTTTTCTAAAGTGTTTAGAGGTAGAGCGGCATTAACTTGACCCACAGCCAGTAGGATACTGGGGAGTCACTTCAGTCTGGCCATCACCATGCCCAGTACTGAGCACATAGCAGCAGGGCGGGGAGGGGACTGTAAATGCCCCTGGCGGGAGGGGTGCGTAATGGTACATGGGATCTGGGGGGGGNGGGGGGTGGAAAGTTCTGGAAATGGAGAGTGGTGTTGGTTTGCACAAGAGTGTGAACATATTTAATGCTACTGAATTGCACACTTACAAATGGTTAAAACGGTAGAGTTTATGTCTGTGTTACCACAATGAAAATAAAAAATTACAGATGCATTTTTGAATATCAGAAGGGTTTACAATATGGTTTGACCTTTTGAGAATCTATTGGAAAATGAAATAAAAATACATGTAAAGGTAACCGAGGAAAGTGTTTGAATCCCCATCTTTATCCCCTTACAAGATGTGACACATGTTTGTGACACCTTAACTATATGTTTTGATGTAGTTTAGTTCTTAATGTCAACCTTTTGTGTTTTTGAAAATAGCACTTTTCATGTCTGTGCATACAGTACATTGATGGTCATGTCTCGATTTTAGGAATTTGAGAGTGTATTTTGCGGTAAAACTGGCAGAAGGCTAAAGCTGACCAGACCAGACTCCTTGGTGACATGTCCTGCACAGGAGAGTCTACAGAGCAGCCCAGCTATGGAGATCAAGTGACTGGATGTGAACACTGGTTCCTGGGCAGTAGACGGCCACTCCTTTGTGACACGCAAACATTACCTCGGACCCTGGACTTCCACTCTGATAGTCTAACTTGAGAGGGACGTGTCTCAGCTCATGGGACTCTAATGTGGACTTTGAAAGCCCATTTTGTAGAAATATTTATCTAGAACAAAATACTTACCCATTAATGTCCTCTTAGACCTTTTGGGGATGAAGACATCTTGACAATTAGTAATTTTTCAATTATCTGTCTGATTCCATCATGTTTTCTTAACATGATAACTTAAAAAAAATTAACATCCTTTGTAATTTCTTTAGTCCTAAAAGGTACATTGCTTTTTACTTATTTTATTTACATTTAAAATATGCCCCGTTAGCAACTAGAACGAGTTAAATTGTTCTTAACTGTAAGTAGTTTGGAAATTTTATTTCTTTTGTTTATCACTTCCCCTTGTAATGATTTCCAGCTGCACCGAACGGTATTGCAAAATGCAGTCCTCTTTCAAACTTTTTTGCTGGAAACTTTCCAGAGACCTCTTTTAAAGGTACTTTTGTCCATAAATGAAATATTGTCACAGTAGTATTGCTTCAGTGCCCTCATTTTCATAGTGAGAGTCATTACTTTCTGTGTAATAAACTGTAATGTTTGGAACTGAGTTTTTCAAATGAGTGGCTTTATTTGTTACAACAGATAATCCCAATAGGCTTTAGTGCAATACAGTCACTTTCAATAAATACTGTCAATGGAGATAGTTAAAAGTTTGTGCACAAAAGAAGCAGGTAAATCAGACAAGACCTTTGTATGGAAGGGATACCGTACATTAAATTCTTTATTTTTTTTTTTGGTAATACTGTGGCCAGTCATTAATCTGAAGATTTCATGTGTCATTTTATTGAAGTGATATCTTAGTCTTTACACAAATGCCATGTAAACAAGTTGCTGACTGTTCTTTCTCTCGTGGAGTTGTACGGAACCTTCTGTGTGTATACCCTCAATCCCTCTGAAATGTTGGCCTGTATCTGAGGTATGATGTTACAGCCGAAGGGACCGTTGTAAATTCACATGGAGACGGAACACTTCTGACAGCAGCTTACTGAAGCGTGCTCTCGGGGACCAAGTGTCCAGTCGTCGCTGCTGAGGACGAGGAGGGGTGGCCTTGCTGGATGGCTTGCTGGGCGGCATTCCCCATTGATACCAGGACGCCACTGGTCCCTGCGATCCTTCCAGAGCCTGTTGTTCAGTCAGCACCACTTTCTCACTTTTCCTGAAGTTGTGTTTTAGGAGCTCCGGGGACCTGACTTTTCCCCAACAGCTGCCATCACGGCTCCTTGGCAGGCGGAGGTATCACAGATGCCAGGAGGCCCCTGAGCGCCGACGGCACCAGGAAGGCCAGGATCGCCAGGGAGCCCAGGCTCGCCATGAGCCCCATCTCGGCCGTCTTTGCTGACGCCGGGCACACCTTGCGGTCCTTGAGAGCCACCAGGAAGGTGAGTGGAGACACAGAAAGGGGACATCAGTGGAGTGTCCATTAAGTCAACCCAACTCTTGTGTTTCTCTAGCTCATTTCTTAATTCTAGGAGTGGCCCAGGGGAGGTGCGCTCAGGCTGGACGGCAGCGAGGGCAGAGGCCTCGCGGGGGGAGGATGGGCCCAGGGTGCAGGAGTCGGGGTTCTGTCCTAAGCCGGGCAGCGTGGACCTGAGTCAGTCGGCGCCGAGTGAGGAATGGGTCTTGGGTGAGGGATGGGGGTGCTGTTGATGAGGGTGGTAGCCACGGGGGTGGACTGTGTGGGGGCACCTGAGGAAGTGGACTTCAGGTGGGAGCAGAGGAGGTCAGCAGAGGAGAAAGCAGGAGCCGGGGGTGCTGACGGGTGTGTTGAGTAGCCCCAGCATGTACCCCCCCCCCCACCAGAAGGTGTAGAAGGGAACATGGCTGGGGCTGTCCTCCTCCCTCTTGGCAGAGCATTTATATTTGACATGAAAAATGCCAACACCCAGGGTTCACGTGGGTTAAGAATTAAGAGAAAATTCTGTTAGAACTGAACTGAACTGAAATACCTGATGGCTTTAGTTGAATAGAATCTAACTGAATCTACTTCAACACAGGGTGATCAATTCATTGATTCAGCTTTTCCATATAAAAGTGGTTGCTGAAAGAGCTCCTGACCCTGCCTCTAAGAATGCTTTGCCAAGAGAAAGAAGTTGTTCCATTAGAAGGCGACAAAGTGTGCCCGTCCCCCAGATGTGCCCGTGTGACGTTAGTGACAGTGGTCTCGTACCTTGCAGCCCTTGGTCTCCGTCAGGCCCATCCAGGCCCTCGCCAGCCGAGCCTTTGTCTCCTCTGTCACCCTGGTTTCCTGTCAAGAGTAAGTGACATAATCATATGCTTAGAAGCCCTGATTCAAGTTCAAAGACAGACTGGCTGTGGTGAGTGGTTATCTGCCTTCTTACAAGCAGGGTGCCCACTTTCTAAGCTTTTTACTGAAACAAAATACATTTAGAAAAGGACACGCAGCAAAGTGTTGGGCTCAATGTCACCCACTTGTGTGACTCCCCAGTATCCGAGCATCACTCTTGGACTTGTGGCTTGTTCAATCTGAGCATTTACCCTGTACTCCTATGTTCAACATGAGTTTTGACAGTTATTTAAGGTGTTTGCAAACACCCCCTGAACTGTGTTCTCTGCTTCCTCACTCCTGGCTGCTTTTGGTCTCCGTGGCCCTGGTGTCTGGAAGGTGCGCTAAGGCCTGCTGCGAGCGCCCGCTGGCTGCCTGTGCCTGTGTGATGCTGGCTGCAAGACCTGGGGATGTTCCAGGAAAACTGAGCCTCTTGTCCACATAGTGATGCTGCTTGAGGCAGACAGCTGGGCTGGGGGCATCTGTCCTGCCTGATGCTAAATCAGTGACACCAGTTTCCTTTCAATTGGTGTTTGTCATTTTTCCCATTACAGAAGGTAGCACACCTTCTGCAAAGGACTGGGAGCCCCAGGGCTGGGCAGTCAGGGCCTCCTATGGGTCCTGGGCTTTCCCCGGCCTCTACAGCTCCCTGACCCGTTTTGTCCTGGGGAGATGGACGCCCAGCAGTGACAGTGGCATCTGTCTGAGGACCTACAGAATATGTTCTCTTTTAACTCAAACAGTAACCCTCAGGCGTCCCCAGCCCGAGGCAGGCACCCCAGGGAGCACAATGACCCTGTAGCCGAATGGCTGCCTCCACTGAGTCCTGTCACGCTGTTTTTCTGAGAACCTATAAAGGTGATGAATGCTGTTTTTGAATTTTATTTTCAACAGTCTTAAAGGCATTCAGATCCCTATTTGGATAAAACCTTGTTGGTCTGTCTTTGGGGGGAACCATCCCCCGCTGCAGACAGTGACGTCTCCAAGACGACAGGAAGCTGTCTGACAGTAGTGAACTTCAGCTGGCCAGGGAAGAGAAGGGCATCTGACGGTGTTTGCCCTCTAGTGCTGAAAATATTCCTAATGTTTTTACAGTAACGAAACGATACCACTAATTACAGAAGCAGTTTCATCTACTGAAGTATTTAAACGTAATGTCACAGATGAACAAAGGAACTCACAGAAGTAAGTTTCGTTTTTCTTAAGCTGTTTCTCAGAAATAGAAAATTATTTTTTAAATAAGTTTGGAACGAACTAGCAGCAATGAGGAGCTCTAAATCCTAAATTTGGGCTGGGAGGCTGACTGACCTGAGACAGTCAGACTGTGGTGGCAGACGATGTATAATGAACCAAGTGTTCAAGGCCTTTTTTAGAAGAGGTTAATGGACAGCAGTTCCTACAGCCATGTTACTGTGTGGGCACTGAGCTTCCCTCGACGGCACCATGGCAGGGGGTCAAGGTTTCCGCCTCGTTTCTAAATTACCTCTCCTAGTTCTTAAGATGCATTTCTCAATTTCATAACTTTTGCCTTATGCCACAGAAATGTTCACACATGCCAGTTTTCATTACAGGAACTGTTCTTACGTATAAATGGGGCTCCTGTTGGTTCATTCCTCACATTCTTCTCAGTCCTCCCCCAAATTTTGTTCTAATGAAACTTGAGAAGAACATCACATTTTGGAAAATGTTGTCATACCCTTGGATTTAATAAGGAGCTGGGTCCCAGAGCAAGAAGGGCTGTACCTCAGGCATCTCTAGCAATCGATTAACCTCTGGGGCTTTTCTAGAGGAGCCCGTGGGGAGGGGATGGGAGGAGAGCGGAGGGGAAGGGTGGGGCCCCTGAGGCCTCAGTCAGTTTCCCCTCTGGGCCTCTTCCCCACGCTGTCCCCATAAGGGAGCATCTCTGTGTGGAGACTGCGTGGAGACACTGGTAGGGGGCTCTAGTGTGTGGCTGCGTGGTGGGGTGGGCTGCACTCACCTCTGGGTCCAGGGTCACCAAGCTCTCCTGTGGGACCTCGGTATCCAGGGGGCCCTCGAGCCCCAGGGTGACCAATGGAACCTGGGGGGCCTGGGGGGCCCGGGGGGCCAGCAGGACCCGGTCGCCCGATGGAGCCTGGTGCTAGGGGCTTCCTCAGGTGTGCGGCCAGCTGCGCGATTTGCTCTTTTGGAAAACAAAGATCAGACGTGTATTCATCAGAAGTGTGTTACATGAAGTGTGAACATACTGCCCTTCAAAGAAAGCTTGTTCATTGACTGCAAAGGGCTGTAACTGCTTTAGGTCTGTGAGAAATGGTGTCAGTATGCTGTCCGTGAGAAATGCTGAAGAGCAAATCACAGCCCTGAGGAACGCTGAGGGAAAGGCACCCACCCAGTGCAGACCCCAGGGACACCACAGTGGGCTTAGCTGGAAGGTGATGGAGGGAGGGGATGAGGTTGGGGTGGGGGTGAGAAGCCTGTGTGTCTAATGCTCACAGGAGTGCGTTTCCCAACAAGGGATGGGCCCAAAGGGCGTTTCGGAGGAGAGGGGGTGGGGATGGAGTGAGGGTGAGGCTGGGGGTGAGGGTGGGACCTGATCTGGGGGTGGGTGAGGCTGCAGGCACCGTGGACCAGGCAGGGTGGGGCAGGATGGAGGACACTCACCGCTGATCAGCCCCCCACACAGCTCCCTGATGTGTTGCTCGCTGGCTTCTTTCCCCTGAAATTCACCCCCAAATCCATCATCATATGGGGGGGCCCGCTGGCATCTCTTTGGGGCACCCCCACTAACACCAGGAATGCTGGTTGTCTGGAAAGGACTTCATCCGGGTCCAGGAAGAGCCCAACATGCAGGAGCACTGGCTCCCGGGGGAAACGTACCGGGACCCCAGGTTTTCCAGTGATGCCGGGCACGCCTCGCACGCCCTGGAGGCCCATGGGGCCGGGGGGGCCAGGGACGCCATCTACGCCGCTGGTGCCATTGGGGCCCTGGATGCCCTTAGGGCCCAGCTCCCCGCGACTGCCGGACTGGAGGGAAACAGAAGCAGGAAGGGGTCATGGCCGAGCCACCTGCAGGGGCTTCTCCCTCAGAGCTGGCAGCTTCCCCACTTCTGACCCACACAGCCATCAGTGCCCCAGAGCCAGCCTGGGGCCCCAAGGGGGCTGGGGAGCCAGTGTCTGCCAGGCACTCACCTCTCCTTTGGGGCCAACAGGGCCGCTGGGACCCTGGAAAAGAGCAGAAGGGAAGTTGTGCACTTCAGTTACTCGCGTGTTGTTGGCTGTGGGAA